GACTTGGGTTGTCACAGAATCAGACAGGCATGCCTAGAGGTCTTTTACTTTTCCAGGCCTTCTCATTCCTCTGTAGTGATATATTGTTTATGATTTATTAAACTTGCCTGAGGATTCAGAAATCAAAGTCTGCCACAAGCCATAGAAGCGAGGCACACACCTTTAATCCCAGCAGCCAGAAGCTAGGAGGTGTTGGTACACACATTTAATCCTAGGAGTCAGGATTAAGAGGTAGACAGATCTCTGTGAGTCCAAGGCCACCCAGATCTACACAAGATTGATCCAATCCTAAAGAGACACAAAGATGACCTTAGCACCTGGGGTCACATCCCAGCATTAGGGAGGTATATAAGACAGGAGCAAAGTCTCAATCACATTGAGAATAGGGATGTCCCAGCCCTGTTAGAGGTAAGAGCTCTCTGGTAGCTTGGCTGTTTTGCTTCCCTGATCTTCATCCAGGTTGAACCTCAATATCTGTCTCTGGGTCTTTTATTTTTTGTGCAACATGCCTCCACTTCAGCCATGAAAAATCGGGCTCCTCTTCAGAAGGAACAGAAGGGCCCAGAAGCCTCTGAACTCCAAGAGAGAACATGTCAATGACAAACTCAGGCCTGCAGGGTGATGAAACCTCTCAGACTGAGGGAGAAGTCCATGGTCAGGAATGCCTGCTCCGAGAGCTCACTAATTACCATCCTCGCCGTTAGCAAAACCAGATGTGTGCTTGCAAAGAAAGTAAACATCTGAGGTCAATATATGTTTCTCTCTGCAGATCTAGTTTGGCGCTTCAGTGTGAGCAGATCATCTCTGAGGCAGAGTGGAATTTTTCTCTGTCGGTGTCACATGACAGACTCACATCTGTAGATTAGGTTGATTGCTATATCAGACATCTACATAATAGATCTTTTTCTGTTCCCTGAGAAGGCTTTGAGCTGTAATCCTACTGACATGGAATAAACAAGGGAGTATAATATCGAAGATTCTGTGTGTGAATCTTAGTTTTAACATGCTCTTCTCTATGGCCTGGGGCATGCGGTTTAACCTCAGTGCCAACATTTGTAAAATGGAGTTTTTGTTTTAAAAAAAGTTTAAAATGGGGGGGCTGGAGAGATGGCTCAGAGGCTAAGAGCACTGGCTGCTCTTCCAAAGGTCCTGAGTTCAATTGCCAGCAACCACATGATGGCTCACAACCATCCAAAACGAGATCTAGTGCCCTCTTCTGGTCTGCAGGGACACATGCAGACAGAACACTGTATACATAAAAAAAAAAAAAAAAAAAAAAAAAAAAAAAAAAGTTTAAAATGGAAATGTACCTGGGCTTAATTTTACATCCTAGTGAAACAGGACCTTGGGAGAGAAAGGAGACTGGGATGGGCTCTCTGGTGAGCTGCTGTTACTAGATACTCATGCCAATGATATTAAGGTGACACTGCGCCCTTGTATGTCACCCTCCCACACTGCCCTTGTGTGTCACCCTTCCCACACTACTCTAGTTCTTCTTTACCCATTCATCTGTCAGAAGACTCACAAATGGATCCAGACCCATCGTGTCAGCCTCCACACAGTGGAGATCCTTTCGTGTTTACCTTCCAACTTGGGCTTGCTTAGATTTATTCCATGGTGCTTGAGGAAGTAGTCTCCAAGGAATTTACCTACCTAAGTTTGTGTTCATTCATTCTTCCTTAATAGTTATTGAATACCTACAGTGTGCCATGCACGGAGCTACAGCAGCGACAATGACAGCCATAATTCAGTTATTATTTAGTATACAGTATATCATGATTCATCTGCTCTAGGTGTGACCTCTCACCACCCTAACCTTGTTTTTTAGGGTATGTGTGTGTGTGAGTGTGTGTGTGTGCGTCTGTGTGTATGGGGTGTGCCCGAGTGCACATATGTATATCATATTCATCCAGGAGTGTGTAGAGTGCTGTGGACTAAACCCAGGTTTCCTGCAAGAGCAGTAAGTGATCTTAACCTAGAAGCCAGATCCCAGCTCGAGGTTGGTCTTTAAACCTAAGAACTACCTAGTACCCTCAGAAAAAGCAGCCCTAACCCATCATTTCGCCTTACTCAGTGACTTCCTATTTCCTCTTTGGCAAAACCAGGGCAGAGTAACCCATACCACAATCATATGTGTTTTCATGGAAGTTGCCTTGGAAACCATGATTCTACCCTCTAGAGGTTGACACCCAAGCCCTCTCTGGAAGATCTGAGAATCCAATCAAAAGTCACTCAGGGCCTATGATCTGTCATGGGACACTGGCACCACCTCCTCTGTCTGGGTTCTCTGAAGACATGAATCAAAGTCTACCTAAAGAGTTAGTGGCTACCTATTGGCACCTGAGAGAAGTCTGTTGCCAAACTCGACATGTAGATTGCACTGCAGAGTTCCTTTGACCAGGCTGCAGAAGGCTTGCCAAAGGTTACAACAGATGGATTTCAAGGCATGTCCCCACCTTTCTTGGCTGGCAGATGAGCTATAAGTTCGATGCAATGTATGAGCTTGGTAAATTATCATGGAGGTTGGGTTACTCTCCACATGCTCACATGCCCTCTTGTTACCCTCCCCTTTCTTTCAGCAATAAAAATTCTCCGATTTCTAGCTAGTCACAAAATCATGCAGAATAATGTTCGTATTGATCTTTTGCTACTGTGATCAATGGATGGTATCAATGGGTGCCATAGGACTATGTCTAGGAGTAGTCCATAATAACTAACTAGCAAGTATTAGTCCCTGTCTCTCCTGTCCCTTTTGCCTCCCTATTGCTTGGACCATAGGAGTGGTGACTGAAGCCCTTTCATGTGTTTTTAATGTTAGGGTGACCATATATTAAGAGCTCTGGGAAGGAGAGGTGCCTAGAGTCGAACAAAGCCCCTAGTCTTGAGCTGTCTAGCCCTGGACTTTGTGCAAAGAAGAAATGACCTTACATAGAGTTTAAGCCATGCTACTTTGGGCCCTGTCACAGAGGAATAAGTCCTTACTGGCACAAGGCTCGGGTGTGTGCATTCTAGGTTGACTAGATTCAGCCACCTAGAAGCCCATAGCTTTGGTGAATTTGCTTCATTTCTCCCTTCTGTAAAGTGGGGATGCTAAAGCCAGTGTGATTACCTTCCATGATTGTTATAAATGAACTGAAAACATACAACGTTTAACATGTGTAAAGCCTAAAATGGACTGGGGTTATAAGGACTAGCTTAACAATAGCTATTTAATATATAAATGAAGAGATTCCCCAAAGGCACAAGATTGAATTTTATTCTATAAAGTCTGATACAGTTCTTTTTAACTGCTCCAGTAATAGCAATAGTTATAATAGTAACATCCTCTTAAAATTGAGATGGAGATATATCTTAATGACAGAGTGCATGCTTAGCATGCACATGGTCTATACTAACTAGATTTTTGACCACTTGACACAGGCTAGAATCATCTGGGAAAATGCAGCCATCAGACTGGGCTGTAGGCAAGCCTTTGGGGCATTTTCTTGATTGATGACTGATGTGGGAAGGCCTAGGCCACTGTGGAAGGTGCCACTTCTGGGCAGATGAGTCTTGGGTTGTATAAGAATTCAGGCTAAGCAAACCGTGAGGAGTAAGACATGGCCTCTGCTTCAGTTCCTGCTGCCAGGCTCCTCCCTTGAGTTTCTGCACTTACTTCCCTTAGGTCAGGACATGGGAGCTGAAACACAGCCTTTCCTGCCCAAGTTGGTTTAGGTCAGGGCTTTATTACAGCCATAGAAAGCAAACCAAAACATGGGCATGGGTTTTATCCCTTGCACCAGTAAATAAATAGAATTTTTATGTAGCACTTAATAACTTAACCTGGTGGGTAAGGTATTATTATCATTGTTATTTTGAGGCAGAGTCCTACTACAGAGCTCAGGCTCGCCTGGAATTTGCTTTCTAGCCCAGAACGTAGACTCCTAATCCTCCTGCCTCCCACCTCTCAAGTGTTAGATTTAAAGGCACATACCACTATGCCCAGAGAGTTAGGTATTGTTACTTTTATTCAAGGAGAAGAAAATTGATACTCAGAGAAGTCAAGCCAAGAATTACACAGTTGCTAAGAGACAGTGGTGATATTTAAACACAGATCCTTCACTTCAAATCCCCTACATTTTCCACACGCTTTCATTTGTTCTTCAATACAAACTACGGCACCATTGTGTGCTATGTTTCCTTATGTGCCATCCATGTCTTTTTTTCTCAAGAACTAGATTTTTCTATTGGTAAAGATACATAGAAAATGTGCACATCTCTAAGTAAGAAATGCTGTTTTCTTGTTCCTGGCAGAGCCCCAATGGGACTAGGCCCTTCATGTGTTTACATGTAATGTTAGTCCTAGAATATGCTTTAGAAAAGCAGATACAACTGAGGCTTAGCCTGGGAGTGAGAGTGGAAGATGAGCCTCCAGCCATCTTGATTGCAGTCTGGATCCCCAAGCATAATGCTGATATTCAGGCTCATGCTGAAAGGGGCTCAAGCAAGAGCTGAGTGTCTGGGATGGGGCCCGGCTTGAAGACAGCGCATGTGTTTTGAATTGGCAATTCTTTTAACAGAAGCAATTTGGAACCCAGACAGGGAAGCAGCCACTGCTGGGACTGTTACAGCCATTTTCCGTGTCCCAAAGGGCAGGGCCAGCAGTGCCTTTCTGAAGCGACTTCAGTTAGATTCGAGGAAGATCTTTTTCACTCTAATGGTTGTGAAAGACATACGAAAGTGGTTGTCAGAAGTTTATTATTAGTGGTGCTCTGTGTCAGGCACAGGTGGAGAATGTGCTGAGTTCCCACCAGTAGGAAATAGGAAGTGAAAATAGGAAGTCTTGAGACAACACTGAGTTCAAATCCTGGCTTACTGGTTTAGTAACTCAGGCCAAATTTCTTCACCCTTCTGATTCTCAGTTTCCTCACCCAGAACAGAGTGACTGAGGTTGAAGTAAAATATATCCAATTTAATGGAAGGTATTCAACAGATATTCATTTCATCTTTTTCGTATGAAGCTTTTCCTAGTCTGCGACTCTATGATTCATCACTTCCTGGAATTCTAAGACACCCATAACTTTCCAAGAGTGGAAACTGCCTGAGCTCTGGCTTCCAAGCCCTTCCCAGCCTTCCTGTGAGAGGTGAGTGGTAGTGACTGATCAGAAACCAGCAAATGGGCCTGAAATCCAGATGTCCGTATGTGTAGTTCTCCCCCGACCCCCAACCCCTCACCCCCCCACCAGGCACTGGGACAAAGGCAAACTTGTTGAAAACAAGTGTTTCACAAGGTAGTGGAATCCTGGTGGGATATGATTCCATGGCTCTTACCCTAGTACCTGTGGAGATCAGTGCCTAGAATCTCGTGGACACCAGGATTAAGTCTTTCATAGTACTGTGAGTTGCTCTCATTTGGGTACAGGACTCATAACCTCAAACACTGGTAGGGCTCATTCCCATCTGCCTCACTTGAGGACCTGATGACCATATGTATATATGTTATATATATAAATTATACCATTGGATGAATGCTAAAAATCCTCTAAACTCAAAAAGATCCCAGGGACCAGCCATGTACAGATCTATGGGTGGAGACAAATGGTCTGCCCCTACTTGTGTCCCTGGACTACCTACCCCCCACCCCCGCCACTTCCTGTTTCTATTCTCTTCTGGGAAAAAGCTTTTCAAAGCCTGTGTGAGGCCTTTATCTAGAGCGAGTATTGGTAGGAAAGGCAGGACATACATAGAAGGAAAATAAGTCCCTACCTGAGCATTTGCAGCTGACAATATTACTTTAGAACAAGTCACCCCCAAAGGTCTTGGGCTGTAGCTCAGTGGTAGAGTGTTTGCCTTGTATACACAGGGCCCAGGGTTCAATCCCCAGCACCAAAAGGGGGGAAAGTCACCCAATAAGCTAATTGTGTTTAACTTGGGCTTCCTTCCTTGACATATCACATAACAAAGATGTTAAAAATATGTATATGCCCATTTGCCACCAAGCCTCTTATAACCCACCATATCATTAAAAGAAGCCAAGGTAGAGAATAGTAAGGTTCTTTTGTTTTGTTTTGGGTTTTTGAGACAGGGTTTCTCTGTGTAACTGCTTTGGCTGTCCTGGAACTGGCTCTGTAGACCAGGCTGGCCTTGAATTCACTGAGATCCACCTTCCTCTGCCTCCCAAGTGCTGGGATCAAAGGTGTGAACCACCACCCCCTGGCAAGAAACAAATTTCTTTAGGATATACATTCTTTCTAAAAAACAAACAAACAAACAAAAAACCCTTAGCCATATGGCTTTAATCCAAGCACTTGAGAGGCAAAGGTAGAGGGATCTCAGTAAATTCAAGGCCAGCCTGGTCTACAAAGTGAGTTCCAGGACTGTTATATACACAGAGAAGCCCTACCTTGAAAAACCATAGAAAGGAAGAAAGGAAGGAAGGAAGGAAAGAAGGAAGGAAGGAAGGAAGGAAGGAAGGAAGGAATGAAGGAAAGGAAGGAAGGAAAGGAAGGAAGGAAGGAAAGAAAGAAAGAAAGAAAGAGTGAAAGAAAGAAAGGAAAGAAAGAAAATATAGAGATATATGGATATATAGATAGCTATGTTTCTCACCTTTATGTATATCAGTATGTAGCCCAGGCTGGCCTTGAATTCCCCATCTTGACTGCCAGGTTTAGAGACAGGCATACCACACCCTGCTCCCTCCTTTTTAATTTATAATAAAAGAATTTATCAAGAAAAGAGTAAGGTTTTCCGTGGTCCATAGTGAGCACAAATCATTGATAAATGGAGTAAAAGATTTACTTTATGGAATAGTTCTCTGAGGATAAAGGGTAAAAGATGTTTCTTTACTCTCTTCTGTCCCCCTCACCCCCACCCCCCACCCCCCATCAATCCCCACCCCTAACCCAAGAACTAGAAACCTAAAAGAAAAGAGGCTAGTTCTCAGTAGCTTTCCATTCAGTTGGGAAAGGAACTGCTCAAGGCACCCTGGCTGCTGCAACTTGGGGTTTGCCCTGCCTTGCCAAGTCTGGCATGGGGTGGCCATTATGACAGTCCACTAGCGCCTCCTATGGTCCATTTCCGGAAACTAACCATGACTCATAAACTGCAGAACTTTTTAAACCTTTCTAACAAACAAATCTCAGAACTTCAAAATCATCATTGCCCCTTTGGTTCCTAGAGGAACAACTGGAAGCCACATCCCAGGATTATCTCCTAGACATATGGGATACTAGAATCCCTTAAAGCACATAGGCAAGTTAAAAAGAAAAAGTGTGGAATTAATTATGAGCCTTATTATTTAAGGTAGAAGGTTGGGAAATGCTGAGTTAAATAGAATCAATAAACATTAAATATGGAGGTTACTTTCTGCTGTTCCTTGGAGCATTTAACATGGGTTTTATATTTATATCTCCCAAGGGGAAGTGGTATTTCCCAGTGCCTGACAACAGGTCAGCAGCCAGCAGAAAGTGTAAAGAAATGAGTTAACTAGCCAGGCAGTGGTGGTGCATGCTTTTGATTCCAGCACTTGGGAGGCAGAGGCCAGCCTGGTCTACAGAGCTAGTTCCAGGACAGCCAGGGCTATACAGAGAAACCCTGTCAAAAAAAAATAAATAAATAAATAAATAAATAAATAATAAATTAGTAAACCGAGTCCCAGGAAGGTAACAAGGGTCCTTTGGAGGTAGGGTCCTCACTAGAACACCACACACACACACACAAACACACAGAGAGAGAGAGAGAGAGAGAGAGAGAGACAGAGAGACAGACAGAGAGACAGACAGAGAGACAGAGAGAGTTCACCTTCAGTGTCACTGTAAAGCAGAGTTATTTGTGGACCTGAGTATGGCATTACCTTCGACCAACAGTACCAGGAAGACAAGTAGACCCCTTTCATGTTTGGTCCCTTCTTCAAGGATGATTTGTTTCCAGTGCATTCACTCTGACTTCTCTGTTCTGGGAAAACCTTGTTGTTACACGAAATTTTCTGTTGAACATTTCTGTTGAGTACTTATTAAGCAACTATTGCCTACACATACAAATGAGAGCAAAAGACAAGGCTGTAGGACATTTTCTTAATTAGTGATTAATGTTGGAGGGCCCAGCCCATTGTGGGTGGTGTAGTACTTGGTTCTACAAGAAAACAGGCTGAGCAATCCATGAGAAGCAAGTCAGGAAGCAGCACTCCATTATGGCTTCTGCATCAGCTCCTGCCTCACATTGGGTTCCTACCCTGTGTGAGACCCTGCCCTAACTTTGGGCAATGAACTGTTAATTGAAAGTATGAGAGAAATAAACCCTTTTCTCCCCAAGTTGCTTTTGGCCACAGTGTTTCATCACAGCAATAGACACCCTAACTAAGACATCTTCCTTCCTTCTTTCCCTCTTTTTTTTTTTTTGTTTTTGTTTTTGTTTTGTTTTGTTTTTGTTTTGTTTTGTTTCTTTTTGTTTTGTTTTTCCAGACAGGGTTTCTCTTTGTAGCCCTAGCTGTCCTTGAACTAGCTCTTGTAGCTTTCCTCCCCCCCCCCTTTTTTTCTTCCTTTTATTTAACAAGATCTCCTGTGTAGCCCAAGCTGGCCTTGAGCTCTTGAATTTCCTGCCTCAGCCTCCCAGAGTGCCTACATGCCACCACACCTAGTTCATTCAAATTCTTATGCTAAGGCTGCCAAACCAAGCATAGAGATCAATGTCTATAATCCCAGGGGCTAAAACTGAAAGATCGACAGTACAGGGCCAGTCTAAATCCAAATCAAAACCTTGTTTAAGAATAAACAAACAAAACAAAAAACATTCAGTGACAAGTATCTTTAATCCCTGCATTTGGGAGGCAGAAGCCAGCAGATCTTTGTGAGTTCCAGACTAGCTAGTCAGGGCTATACACAGAGACTCTGTCTCAAAAGCAAAACAAAAAGCACCACCCCCACAGATGTAGCTCAGTGGTAGAGAATTCATCTGTAAATCATAAGACCGTATGTTCGATCCCCAGCAAAACAGAGAGACAGAAACAAAGAGAGAACAAGGCTAGAGAAAGAAAGAACAGCAAATATATAAGTAAGTAAAAGTCAGGCTGGAGAGATGGCTCAGCAGTTAAGAGCACTGACTGTTCTTCCAGAGGTCCTGAGTTCAATACCCAGCAACCACATGGTGGCTCACAACCAACTTAAATGAGATCTGCATGCAGGCAGAAGACTGTATACATAATAACTAAATAAAATCTTTTTTAAAATTTTTTTTTAAAAAGTAAGTAAAAGTCAGTGACATTTATCACAGGAAAGTGGGGTGTAGATTTGTCGTTAGAAGGCTTGGATTTGCTCTTCCTACAATAAAGTGGTTAAAAGATTAGACAGACCAGTAAGTTCTGAAGGAGGGCAAACAGATCTCCCTGGAGGGTGCATTGACTATAACAATGAAGTAAGATGGAAAACAATACAACAAAAGGAGAAAAAAAATGTGAGTAAAAGAATAAAATCCAACACAGCCTTTTTGGGGTAGCCAATCTGGAAAAGGATTGGATGCTAAACGTTCACTTTGCAACTATGGTAACCAGAGATACTGCTCTGGTCAACCACAATCAAATAGGCTGTCCATGATTCTAATAGGCTCCCTCATACACCTACACCATGGGCCTAGATCTGAAGGAAAATGATGTGAATGTCATTCAGTCCCTGCCATGAAGCTGGAAAAAGGCTCTTATTCATAGCTCTTGTTCACAAAGAAAATCCCTCCTTGTCAGGTCCACGGTGCTGCCTATCACTCTTGTGTCCTTTGAAAAATACTTATGAATGTTCCTGTCATTCAATACAGTGCCAGGCATCTAAGCTTCTCAATAAATGCATATGCAGGAAAAAAAAAAGCTCATTGAAAATGAAAACTCAACCCATCAGAAACTGCAGTATCCGTACATAGAGAATTTCTCTCTATATCCAGTGCTACATTGACTTCAGGAGGATTATCAAAAAGGTAACTTAGTATAGCCACAAAGAAGCATGGGAAGTTTTGAAAACGTCCTTGTGCAAAACTCCCTAACCTGACATAATAAGACTTTATTCATCCATTCGATTTCATTTGAGTCTCCCCCATGTAGCAGGCATCTCTGTGTTTGGTTACAAGTGTCAGGGATCCAAATCAAATTCATCTAAGTAGAGGAGAGGGGATATTAAAAGAATAATTTGATGACCATGAAATCTCATGGATAGGAATATGCCTGGGGCTTGAAAACAACTAGAACTGGGAGGTCTGAACACCATCAGAGTTCTCGCTTTCTTCACTTGTTTCTTTGGCTTCCTTTGCTTTGCTCCTGCTGGAGATCTGCATTTTCCATGTGGTAAAAGACATAGGGGCCGACAGCTCCTAAATTTGCTAGTACCCTACAAAGAGACAAAACATTTTCTCTGGTTCCAAGACAAAAAGTCTCAGGAAAGACTTCTTTGAAGTAATAGGAGTCAGTCCAACCTGGAGAGTCTCAAGACAATTCAGAAGTTTATGAGGGGGACACAGAAGTGGGGGCAGACAGAGAGGAAGAAGCTCTGGGAGAAGGGAGAATGAAATACTGGTCAACTGGTATAATGAAGGCACTTCCATGCTGGTGGTACTGTTCCAGGATGTGTTAGAACCTCTTGGACATGGAACCTACCAGGAGAAATGAGTTGCTGGGATGACCTTTGAAAGTGACAACCACGGCTGGCTCCAGCCTGAGCTTTCTACTTCCAGACCAAGCAAGATATCTGCAAGCTGAAGCAAAAAGTTCACACCATTCTGGACAGGTATCTGCTGGAACCAGGACCCAAACCAAATCCTTTCTCCCAGAAGTTGTTTCTGTTCGTTATTCTCTCCCAACAGTGAGAAAAGTAATACACATGGCAATTGAACTTAGCTGTCAACCAACAATTGTACTAATTTAATAAACATCTAGTCTCTGGCCGAGTGTGTGCTGTAGGCCAGGGACTGCACTAGATTTAAGGAATGTATAACAGAACTTTCCATCCTTTTCTGTACATAATGTGTTTCTCAGGAGAGTAGGCATTCAGAGATACAAAGAAATATAAAGCATACTTGGCTTAGGGCCTTTAGCAAATTTATGATAATAGCCAGAGAAAGAAAACTGTACCCAGAGAACAGTCATGTAGCAAGCTGTGTGTAATCCATGATGGGGCAGGAGGTTCCAGGTTAGAGAGGCCAGTGAGGGCACTTAGGAGGAACATCTCGGAGACAACAATGGTTTTTCAGGGTCTTTAGAGGATGAGGAAGCTTTGTTTACAAGTACATGTGTTTAGCGTGCAGTATTTTCACAACATCACACCACATGAGGCCATCTGCATCTGGAGGCTCTCTGGAGCACCGCCTGCAGTCAGCCTGGTCCTTGTTCACAGGCAGGACTGCCACCCACGGTTCTTCTGATAGTCTTGTTTTTAGTTGTTATGGCCTGTTGGATCAAAGCCCCTGAGTTTGATGCAAGTTCAAAATAATTTCCTTCAAGGATTAACTCATCTTTCTGGGCTTGGGGAGCTGCACAAGCAACATCTGGTATGGCCTTCAGAGGGTTTTTTCACCCAAGGAGTTTCAGATTTCAATAAGTGAGCCATCCTGATGAAAAACACGGACGGGAAATGGGTCTGGGTGACTTTATCTTGTAATGAGAGCCCCACAGAACACCCCACAGTCATGTTTTGTACACAACTATAATAAATGCCACAAACTATAACAGGTTCCTTATCAGTCTGTTCCTTGCCAGAGTGACTGAATTCCAGCCCTGGGGTTGAAACCCCCTTGTGAGTTTTCTCTGGGACTATTCCATAGCCCATCCTAGGCTGTGAGTAACACCCTCCCTGTGCACTCAACAGCCCTTTGCTCACATTTTAATGTAGCCTCAGGGAATCTGTTGGATGGCTCCTATTCTCAGACTCCATCTACCACCTCCCTGTCTGCTTAGGCCTGCTGGCAGGACCTCAGGACCATCTCCTTGCCTTTTGGTAACCTTTGGCTAGTTTTCTCCATGCATGTATTTGGTATTCCCAGCTCTTTCCTCTGCATCTCACAGGCTAGTGTAGGCATCCCTGGAGTTCTCTTCCAGGGTGAGATATTGCATGTTCCTAAAAGGGATACACCACAAAGCTAAGAGTTAGGTGTTGCCTTGGGGATGAAGGACTTTCAGTGTCATGATTCTCATCACCCACGTCTTACCCAAGATGCTCAGTGTGAACATAAAGATATAAAGCCATTCCTGGGGCAGGAGAGACAGCTCAATGGTTAATACCATGTATTGCTCTTTCAGAGGACCCAAGTTCAGTCCCCAACACCCATATCAGGCTCACAACCACCTGCAAACCCATCTCCAGAGGGATGCAATGCCTCCAGCCTCCCACCTCCCAGGCACCTGCATTCATTATATATTCAGAGACACTGCACACAAATTACAAATAAAATAAATAATTTTTCAAAATCATCATGTCTGGGTCTGGGAGATGGCTCAGTCAATAAAGTGCTTGTTATACAGAATGAAGGTCTGGGCTCTGTCCCCAGCACCCACATCCAATATGTGTAGTTGTGGCAGCATGCCTGTAATCCCAGCACTGGGGACAAAGAGACAGAGAGATCCCTGGAACTTACTGGCCAGCCCAGTCCAACTGAGGCAATGAGCTTCAGGTTCAATGAGATACCCTGTCTCAAGAAAAAAAAAAAAGATACCCAATGTAAACATCTGACCTTCACACATGCACATATACATACCCATAGACACACATGGGCACACATGTAAACATCTGGAACTGCTCTCTTTTTTAAAAACATTTATTTATATTATGTATACAGTGTTCTGCCTGCATATATGCCTGCAGGCCAGAAGAGGGCACTAGATCTTGACAGATGGTTGTGAGCCACCATGTGGTTGCTGGGAATTGAACTCAGGACTTCTGGAAGAACAGCCAGTGCTCTTAACCTCTGAGCCATCTCTCCAGGCCCTGGGGTTACTCTTTTTAAAGAACAAATATAAAGCTCCAAGGAAATGGTCATGGTAGTCTGTGGTAGAATATTATTTTCAAGTGTGTGGCTTTTGCGTTATGCTGCATCTGTTTAACTCTGTGAAGCTGTGAGGCTTTGCCTGTCTAAAACACCTGAAGGTCTAATAAAGAGCTGAACGGCCAATAGCGAGGCAGGAGAAAGGATAGATGGGGCTGGGAGGCAGAAAGTATAAATAGAAGGAGAAAGAAGAAAAGAGAGGGCAAGCAAGAGAACAAGGAGAGGAGATGACAGGGGCCAGCCACCCGGTCACCAACTCAGCCACAGAGTAAGAAGGAAAGTAAGATATACAGGAGTTAGAAAGATAAAAGCCCAGAGGGAAAAGGTAGGCTAATCTAGCTTAAGTAAGGTTGGCTAGAAACAAGCCAAGCCAAGTCTGGGCATTCATAAGTAAGAATAAGATTCCTTGTGATTTATTTGGGAGCTGGGTCGTGGGCCCCTCAAAAAAAAAAAAAAAAAAGAGCAAAAACAACATACAGCAGAAGTCTCTACTTCCAAATGAAGAAATAAGGATGAAAGGGAAATAAAACCCTAAGAGCAGTGGCCTGTACTTAAAGGAGAAATGTATTTAAATGGTCAACTGTGTCTGAAGCAGAAATATCGGAGAATACAGAAGCCACTGGTGTCAAGAAGGTTTCTGGCAAGTGTTTTCCAAAAAAAAAATGTTTCAGTAGTAGGTCTGGAAGAGGCTGTTAGAAAAGGGGCAGGTGCTGGGCAATGGTGCCACACGCCTTTAATCCCAGCGCTTGGGAGGCAGAGGCAGGTAGCTCTTGGTGAGTTTGAGACCAGCCTGGTCTACAAGAGCTAGTTCCAGAACAGTCTCCAAAGCCACAGAGAAATCCTGTCTCAAAAAAAAAAAAAAAAAAAAAAGAAAAAGAAAGAAAGAAAGAAAAAGGAAGAAAGAAAGGAAGAAAGGGGGCAGGAAGGAAGGGCAGACCACAAACAAAGGAAAGAGCAGTTAGATCATGGTGGAGAAAAGCAGAGAACTGTTTTCTATCTACTCAACTAGAGATTCTGGGCCTGGGGCCCAGAACTCTTGTCCTGCTGGGCCCTCCAGGTGAGGCTGACCCGCTGAACTGGAACTGAGGGGCTCTGCCATAATGGTTGATGCCTGTGGCCCAGGCCCTGAAATTCCACCGTAATTGCTCTGTGTTCTGGGGTTTGTCAAAGCTCTCCTGGTGACTCTAATGTGCAGCTGAGTCTGGCGGTGGTTGCACGTGCCTTTAATCCCAGCACTTGAGAGGCAGAGGCAAGAGGATCTCTGTGAGTTCGACGCCAGCTGGTCTACAGAGTGAGTTCCAGAACATCCAGGGCTACACAGAGAAACCCTGTCTGTAGAGAAAGAATGGTTGAGAGGTGGAGTCAAGGAGGAATGCAGGGTTGGTATGTCACACAAGCTCCAGCTGGACGTGGCATGGTGCTAAGGCTCCATGATCATATGGATCACTCAACAACCTCCGAGATTCCTGAGTTCAGTGAATGACTATCTCAATGGGTTGTAAGGACAGGGCTATGATGCAAGTGCCACCATTAATGCTGCTTGACAGATGGCCCCAAGAAGTATCTGAATTCCTGGGCATCGAGGCAAGGCAGTGGGTAGTGCTGGGACTTGAACAAGTAAGTCTCTTTAGACAACAGAATACTCAAATTTTAAGGAAAATATAACAAAATGCAATACTCTAACCTTTTTATTTTTTCACTTTTTTTTAAAAGATAGCTTCTCATGCATCCCAGACTGGCCTTGAAGTCATCAGGCAGTGAGGATGACCTTGAACTTCTGGTCTGCCTGTCTCCGCCCTCCAATTACAGACATGTACCACCACACCCAGATTTATATGACAGTTGGACTGGAACCCATGGCATCATGCATGCTAAGCAAACATTCTGCCATCTAAGCCACACCCCCAGTTCGGTAACTATTTTTAGAGTGTGATCCAATAGTATTGAGAACACTGTACAGCCATCATTACTGACCATTTCCAGAAATGTTTCATTGTACCAAACAGAAACTCTCATCCATTAATAATGTCCATCTCCCTTCCCTGCCCCTGGTAACATCTGTTCTACCCGTTGTCTCCATGAATCAAATACTCAGCTTCATCCCCGGGTCATGGGAAATGGACATACTGAATTTGATCACGGGATTTCCTTGAATTAATGGTATCTCTCTAAGTTAGCTGAGGCCACCACACCTTCCATTCCCAAAATAAAATAAGGAATGCTTACTCCAAAGCATATTCTCTCTTGCTCATGTATTTCTGTACCTCTGAAACCCTCTATGGGTTGTAGCTGCCCCCAGGCCACCTCCTCCTTCATTTAGCAAACTTGGCCCCTCTCTGAGTGTCTAGCCAGTCAGAACTGTCCCCAGAGATCTAAATCAGAGACTTCAACCAGTATGGTCTCATAGACCAAGGTTTCAAAACGAAACATTCACTCAATTTGCTTGTGGAAATGCAGGAGCAGAGTCAATGAATCTGGTGCAGAGGGCTGACTTTTCCATCAAGTTCCCGGGTGATGCTGATGCTGAGGCTGGGGGCCAGCCCCCACTGTTAGTGAAGCCTATGGATGAAGTCTTCACAGTGATGAACTTTACATAAAGATGCACTTTACACTAGTGTTCAATTGGCTGCCTCACTACATCTTGAGGGCAGAATTCCGTCTTGTCATTATGTTCCCAGACTCTAGAATTGTGACTGGTCCAGAACAGCATTCAATAAATGCTGAATGGATGAACAGATGAATGAGTCTGAAGGTTGGAAGGATTGAAAAGGAATCTACAAAGAGCTTCATAAGCAGCCACCAAAGATGTGCCTTAAGTAAACATGTGAGCATGTTAAATGTGTGTCTGTGTTTGTGGCATGTAAGATGTGTACAAAAGGATCCAAACTGGAGGAGATGGCAGCAAACTGGGGCACCAGTCCAAGCACATACTGTAAAGGCATGAACTAAAGTAGTGGTGAGGGGCAGAGAGGAGCACACAGGGACACCTGGCCAAGCATGGTGGCACACACCTGAATCCCAGCACTTGGCCCATCATGGTAGCACACACCTGCAATCCCAGCACCTGGCCAGGCATGGTGGCACACACTTGGAATCCCAGCATCTGAGTGGCAGAGGCAAGAGGATTTCAAGTTGGAGGCCAGCCTAAGCCACACAGAAAGAACTGTTCTCAAAACAAAAAACAAAACAAAGACAGACCAGACATGTGGGTTAATTGTGCATCTCCATTGGCTTCAGACCATTTATTCTGAGTATAATTCTTAGTATCATTGTCTCTTTTGTGCCCCAAAGTGCCTGGTTGAGATAGTACTTATCTATTCTTTCTGTATGTGAAAGACACAGTTAACAGACCCTGAGGATAGAGATAGCAGTAGAAGAGTCTGGGATGATTCTTAAATATCTGTCCTAAGTAACCTGCTAGGTGGCAATATCATTGACCAGACTACACAACTACACTATCCAGGAAATGAGACATAATCTTTTTTCTGTTTTTCTTTTCTTTTTTGTTGTGGTTTGTTTTGGTTTGTTTCTGTTTTGGCTTCTTTTTTTTTTCTCTGTGTAGCCCTGGCTGTCCAGGAACTCATTCTATAGACCAGGCTGGCTGGCCTCAAACTCACAGAGATCGGCCTGCCTCTGCCTGTGCCTCCCAAGCGCTGGGATTAAAGGCAGATGCCACCACCAGCACTGTCTAGGAAAGGAACTAATAGCTTCTCTTTGAAAGTCTTTAAGTTGGAGAGTTTTTGCCAAGTATTGAGTATTTTGCAGTACAAGGCATGAACAGCAATTGTGTAGCAGACACAATGGTTGCTGTTTAGATACAGGTGGAAGGTATTACCAAGCAAGAACATCTCCCCAGAAGCAGCTCAGGATTGAATTAGTCCCAGAGATTTTATTACAGAGGGAAGCTGCTTTATTGGCTGTTGAGACTAAGTGAAGGTGGATTGTCAAATACTAATCCATTCTGATTTCCATTTTTCTTTCCTCATTCTCTTCCCTCCAGATCACTGACATGACTGCCTCAACTGGTGTTCCATGACTTTTGAGTGTCTGCCAAATGAACTGGACCAGTTAGCCATGATCATTTATACAGTCACTGTTAATTACTTACCACATCAAGGCCTGGTTAGTTGAGCTGGAAGAATGCACACCCTGGCTGGATAGTCCCAAGCCAAAACTCAGGGACACAAAAATGCCCTACCTCATTCGTAAGTCTCATGACCCAAGGTCATTACTAATCCCAATTCATCCTTGCCAGCATGCCAGCTTCTACCACCCCTGCAGTATGTCAGCAACTAGGTAATTATTTAATAACAACTGGAGACAGGTTTGTGCTTCCTTCCCTTACAAGCGATAAGGGATTTTCCTGGTTTCAATTTCAAGGTGGCTCTGTCTTAATGGCTCTAAATGCAGTCAATAGAAGAATAAATCCACCTGCTGCAGCCTCTGAGGGAGCTTGGAAACAATACGTGACTCTTCAAGTATTAAGAAGAAATGAAAGACTGAGTTGGGCCCACTGATCATCTAGATGCATGTATTAAAGACTCCCAGCAGCTGTCTACATGCTGGCCAGTTCTACATATATCACTCTTCGTCTTGAATCAGATGACTGAGTTAGTACCTGGCACTAGCTTCCCGAGGGTTACTCCTAAGTATTATGAAAAAAGGTAAAATCTAGGCTTTCTCATCATTGGTTCTAATATTATCCTGATTAATAACCAGAGTAAGAGAGCTGGAGCCCAGGACTCCAAGTGTGTGCTGGAAGTCAGATGTCAAGCCTGTATATTCAACCAAAAGTAAATGCTAAGACACCATCACACATTCATTTTGATGGCTACTATCAAAGGCCCCAGAGAAAAAGCAAAAAATGAGAGCGAGAATAAGGAGAAATTGCAAACTTATGCACTGCTGGTGGAAATATAAAACAGTGCAGCCATTGTAGAGAAGCTGTATGAAGCCTCCTCCAAAAGTATTGTCTGGGGGTATAACCTCAGTAGCAGAGAGGGGAGAGGAGAGAGACAGAGAGAGGAGGGGCATAAAACCATGCAGGGTGGCTCATACTTGTAGCCTCAGTACTTGGAAAGCAGAAGAATGACAGTGAGGCCCAGGCGAGCTTGGGCTACAAAGTGAGACCCTGTTTCAAAAAGCCAAGGGGAAAAAAAACGAAACATGAGTTACCAGATAATATAACAATTTCACTTGTGAATGTATACCCAAAAGAACTGGAAGTAGGGACTCCAAAGGTTGTTTGTTCACCTGTGTTGACACCAGTGTCATACACAATAGCTGAAATATGGAAGCAGACAGTGTCCTTTGGCTAGTGGCTACCTAAGTCAAGTGTGGGATATTGTACAGTGAGATATTATCTAGCTTTATAAGGGAAGGCGATACTGTCACATACTACCAGGCAGAGGAACCGAAGGATAATATGCTAAGTAAAACAAGCCAGTCACAGGTGATGAGGATGACCTGGTCTAAAAGCAGGAAGTAAAACAGTTGTTTTTAGGAACTAAAGAGACTGAAGAATGGAAAATTCTTGTTTAGTGGCTATACACACTTTCTCCCTTTTAATGAAGAGAGTTACAACAGGATAAATCCACTTAATACCATGGATGTATGCTTTACAGGGCCTGAGATGATAAGTGTAATTTCATGTGGGTTTTTGTTGTAGTTATGTTTGTTTTTGTTATTGTTTCTACCCCATCTTGAGACAAGATCTCACTCTGCATTCCAGGCTGGCCTACAATCCAGACCCTCCTGCTCTAGCCCCTTCAGTACTAGAACTAGGCATGCCCTGCTACAACCAGCCTAGTATTTATAGGTATTTCGATGACAATAAAAACTTAAAAATATGGGTATGGTGTTGCATGCCTATAATCCCAGAGCTCTAGATAGAGATTGGAAGAATGCTGCACACCACATACACACACCAACACACACACCCTACACATCACACACACCACACACATCACATGAACACACACACCAACACACATACACAACACACACACCCTATACACCTCACACATACACACACAACACACATGTGCACACACACACACATGCACATGATAGCTAAACAAAGTGGCGCACACATATAATGCCAGCACTTCGAAGGAAGAGGATCAGGAATTCACAGCCAGCCTTAGCTACATATTGAGTTTGAAGCCAGCCTGGTCTACATGAGACCCCATTTGAGAATTTCTTGGGCCTGCTGGCCTGGGAATGAAATAAATGATCTTCCCTTCTGGGCCACCATGACTTTTTCCATAGGAATTCGAGAACACACATCTCTTTCCAAACAGAAACAGCTCCTAATCCATCCTGCTGTGCCACCCAGAAGCAAAGATGCAGGAACTAGAAAGTCCTATGGAGCCTCCAGGGCCTGAACAACAGTGAAAGCCCCAACTCCAGGTCCAGCAATTCTTGATCAGCTCAGTGCTTGTCTCAAAGTCCAAGGGTGCTAGAGAACTGACCTTAGCCCACCAAACATCAGGACTGTCATTCAAGTCGTCTCTCCCTGCCGTTTCTACTGAAGCCCTAACCCTAGATAGCCAGAGCCAGCCAGGTTATCTACCCTGGTAAAAAAAAGCAAATAGATGAGACATTTCACCATTTTCCCACATCTGTCTCTATAGAGCTGGAGTGACGGCTCAGGGTTTAAGAACATTGGCTGACCTCAAAGAGGACCTGGGTTTGGTTCCCAACACCCACATGGTAGCCCACAACCATCTTTAATTCCAGTTACAGGGGATCTGACACCCTCCTCTGAACTCTATGGGCAACAGGTATGCAAACACACACACACACACACACACACACACACACACACACACACACAGGGGGGGGGCCGCAAAATACTCATGACATTGTTAAAAGATTTATTATATGATGCAGGAAAACTGACAAATTGATCCATCCCCACAGTCAGACTTAAGGCTCTCAATAGGAGAGTTCACTCCCTCTTTCCTTGATACCTCCTGAATGCCCTGTTCTTGGGTCATTCTGCACCACACCCAGGTCCAGAAGACTCACCAGTCTGTTGGCTCCTCTGAGTTGCTGTTGTGGATCACTTGTCCAGGATGGAGAAAGAGAAGTTGAGATCTTCCAAAGCACAATTCTCAAAAAGAGTAATGATGTGTGTCCTTGACCCCAACGCTGGAGGACATGCACAAGGCCAACCTAGGAGATTATGATGGTCTGTGTCCATTGTCACCAAGGATTAAGAAATGTCAAGGGGATTAGTGGAGAAGCTTTGGTGTTTGTCTGAGATGATCCCCGGAGACTATGACACACCCTTGATGGTTCTTTAGTACCATGACAGCATCAAAAGGTGACAGAAGTGGGTCACTGGGAGAAAGTCTCCCAGGCTACAGCTCTTTTCTAGGCCCTTCTGGTAGCTCCCCTTTATGTCTGTTTCCCCATGCCTGATAAGAGGAGGAAGGCCCACCTTTCTCCTACCATCAGGATGTGATGACATTTCTGAAACAGTAAGGCAGAATAGACCCATCCTTAAGCCGCTGTGTCAGGCTTTCAGTCATCATGATGAAACATGACTAACACAGCTGTGTGATGAGATCTTGCTTTTCAAAAGAGCACAGTTCTCTCAAAAAATAGCAGACATCCAAAAATGCCAAAGGAAATAGGAATTCATATCTGTCACCCACAGTTTGGTCACTCTGATCAGTCATTTTTCCTTTCTTTACCCTGTGTCCTTTTCTACATCCTTTGAGAGGATTATTCAAGTAAATCTACAAAGATAGGAATGGGGCTGTGTCTCCAACATCACACTACAATTCTGTGGTACTGAGGATAAAGTTTAAAGCCTTGTACATACTAAACAAGTGGTCTACACTGAGCTATGTCCCCAATGCTTCACATCTCTCCAGTCATGGTCTCTGTAGTTCAGGCTGGTTTGAATTTGCTATATAGGTCAGGCTGACCTCAAACTGCAGATCCTCCTGCCTCATCCTGCCTAGTGCTAGGAATACAGGCAGGTGCCACCATACCCTGCTACTGCTGTATATTTTCCCAGTCAATTTTGTCATACCAACATCAACTATTCCAAAGGAATTACTGAATTTTGTTTTTATGCTTGTGATAGCTGCTACAATTTCTGTTGATTGTTAGTGTGACAGGTTTTTAGAATCACCGTGGAAACAAGCTTGATATGTCTGTGAGAGAGTTTGTCATGATAACTAAGGGGGAAGACCATCCTAACAGTGGATGGACAGCCTTCTGTGCATTTGGATCTTAGCCCTCATCAAAAGGAGAAGGCTAGCTATGCACCGAGTTTCATCATTCTCTGCTTCCTGACTACAGATGCCATGTGACCAGCTGCCTCGGGCTCCAACCACCATAAACTCACTGCCCCAACTTCTGCTCAAACTGTGAGCCAAATAACCCCTTCCTTTTAGAAGTTGCTTTTGTCACTATTTTGCCCCAACTGTATGTAAAGTAACTAATGCTGAAAGCAAAACTTTAACCACAAGATTTTCTGTTTGGAGAATTCAATCTCCCAAGCTATTTGTTCACATTGACCAACTGAAGTACCCAAGGCATAATTATTACTTATCTGTATGTTAAAAATATCAATATTGTGATTTTTTATATAAGGATCATTACATATCCAGCCTAGAACTCACTATGAAGAGCAGGTTGGCCACAAACTCATGGTCCTCCTAACTCAGCCTCTCAAGTACTGGGGTTATTGTAACCATCATCCCTGGCTTGATTGTTTGAATAAGTTCCACTCCCTTCCCCTCCTCTCTTTTTCTCCCCTTCCTCAATGTAGATGTAAATATATGTATACATATTTTACATATGATGCTGGGGTTGGAAGTGGGTAGAGAGGGAAAAGATTATGCTGCAGCAGCAGACTGCAAGGTTTCATTGAAACCCCGGGTGGACTAGAGATCATCTTGACCACACAAGGGAAGAGTCAAAGGGAGGCTGCAGATGACAGGAGCATTCTGTTGACTGACAGGTGAGCCCAAAGCCTAGCTCTTCCTATAGTGAGTATTTAAATAAAGGGAAAGTCTGTAGAGGATCAATAACATGTCAGCAAGCCTCTGTCCCACAGTGCCTGCTGCAAAAATCCATGTAGGTGCCCAACCCACAGTCACATTTACTTGGGGTGATGACTTTGTCCCTGGGAAAGGTGAACTCATATTTGGCAGTCTCCATGTAGAAGGAAGTGGTTGTACTTGTTAGAAACAAACAAACAAATGTCCTAGTGAAAATGTTTGAATAGCGAAATCACAGTGTTTGTTGTGCAGTTCCCCTTTGTTCCAGAAGCTCATGATGGAAATTTCACACACCGATTTTCTTGCACATGTATTAAAACAAGTTCATTTGCTCTAATTGCAGAGGTTAGGAAACCATACACTCATTCCATAGGAAACTTGCAAAAGAAATGGTAGCTGAGTTATCCAAGTGACAGGTATTCAGACATAGAGCACAGTATTCCCACAGCTAGTAATTAATAGGAAGACAAGAACTGGAGGCCCAGGGCTGATGAGATGGCTCAGCAGTTAAGAGCACACTCTGCTTTTCAAAGGTCCCAAATTTGGTTCCCAGCACCCATTGCCAATGGCTCACACCACCTGTAACTCCAACTCCAGGAACTCTGACCTCTGCGGCACCGGCACTCACAGATGCACACACAGACATAGATCTTAAATCTTTTAAAAAATAAAATAAAAAATAAGAGTCTGAGGCCTGCTGTGCCACACAGCTATCTGCTGCAAAGGACCCCCAAGAAGGTCAATTAACAAATGTATCTCCAAGATACACTGCTAAACCAAGGGGGGAGGGGAAAGGCTCAAAGCACTTTTTAGTAACACAGCTTTAAGTTTTGTACTTGATATAAACATGTAAAGGAGAAAACTGAGAAGCGTTTGATTTTTCTTATGAAAAAAAAAAAAGCCTAATGAAAGTAACTATCTATAAGCCAGTGGGTTAAAGTACTTCCTGTGCAAATCTGATCCCCAGATCCCATTGTGTAAGGAGAGAATCAATTCCCAAAGTCACTCCTTGACTTCAACATGCACTTCAGTACACTGTATCCCACCAATCCCACATATACACTAGCAAATTTTAGTTTATTTTTAAGGTTTTTGCTGTTATTTATTTTCATTGCAAAGTAGCCACAATTATTTTTATTAGTTCTTGATCATACTTACCCTTTCCCCACCTCCTCATGAGCCACACCCCTCCTTATGCACCCAACTTTCTTTTCTTTCCACCCATCAAATCCAATTTGTGTGTCCACGTGTTTGTGGGTATGTGGCTCTCCGGCAGTGGTCACATGACTCACTGAGAAAACTGGCTCTTAACCTCGAAGCAGCTATCAATTGTCAATAGCTCCCCAGCTATGGGTGGGATTTCGTGTCCATTTCCCCCCTCAGTGTGAGATTTAATTTTTAAAGTAGTTATCTTTGAAGAAAGTCGTAAGCTGAATAAATGGCTTCTCAGAGTATGCATCATTCGGTGTTATTGTGAGGATTTAAATCAACAATATATTGTTTATTCAAAATGTTTACAAGTGCCCGGTGGGGGGCGCACACCTTTAGTCCCAGCACTCAGGAGGTAGAGGAGGCAGACCTCTGTGAGTTAAAGGCCAGTCTGGTCCACAAAACAAGTTACAGGACAGCCAGGGCTGTTATACAGAGAAACCCTGTCTCGGGGGGAGGGGGGGGGAAGAAAAAAAAGAAAACACGATGTTTAATAGGGAGTGGTTCAAAGGATTTGAGTGTAGTGACCAAACCCCACTCACCTTGGAATCTCTTTTGTACCCATATAGTGACCCAGCAGCAGGTCACAGAATTGCCAATGGTAGGACCCCTGGTTAATTGTATCAGTTAGGAGTCTTATAGGTAAAATGTCAAGTGTATCTTGAGGTGGGTCTGGTGCCTTAACTTACTTGTGATTTCTGAATTTGGAAAGCTGAAAGAGGGGAACTTGGCTAGAAAGCCAGGTTCAGGCCAGCCTGGGCTACAGGACCAGATCTCCTCTCAGGTTTTTAAATGAATCTAAAATTTATTCCTATCAGAGAGCAACAATCCAGATCTAAACTAGCTTGGAGCTTTGGAGCACACAGAATTGCTTCCTGAGGAGGGTTGCCTACACCACAGGCTTCCCAGCATCTCTGGGAACCCCGGCTTCAGCCTCACACATCGCTGCTGTCTCCTCCAACCGTTTCCAAGCATCAACTTCGGAGGTTGCTGCCATCTCCAATATGAGCTTGGGGTTCTGTTGCCCTTCATTTTGGAACACGAATCTGCTGGGGGTGACCAGGGGGAGCCAACAGCTTCCCCTCCAGGGCCTCAGTGCGGTTGTTCTCTTGTGCAACCAACATGATGCGGATGCATGACATTCTGGGCTTGAGAATGTGGGGTATTCAGAGCCAGACCAAGAGTATGTGTGTGGGGAGACAGCTGGGCTTACAGGCGTGCCAGAATAGGGAGAGGGGGAGAGTGGGAGACCACTTATCTCCCTCCACCACTCCCCTTTCCTCATTCCAGGCCCCAACTCCAGACCAGCGTGTCTCCAAGTGAGGGAAAAAAATGGGAACATGGGACAATGCCACATGTAAAGGATGTTAGGAAACCCAAACACAGTTCGGCACTGATGTACTTAATTTGGTTTATAAAATGCAATTTGCAATTTCTGTGGAATCCTCTGTTAGTGTTAAAAGGGAAAACAAAAGGGCTCAGTTGAATAGACGTCAGAAAAAGAGTCCCGGATGGAGTCTGTCGCCATGGGGCGGGAGACTGCTCTCGCAGGTCGCTGGACCACTCTCCTTTAGTTTCCTCATTTGAAAAAAAAAAAAAAAAGCATGATAATAGCCTACTCTACTTCACAGAGGTTGCATAGAAACGTAAGAGCCATGACTTAAATGTTAACAAAAGGCATGAGTTACTGAAATGGCTTACTCTTACTTTTTGAATCTAAAAAGATTATTAGTGAGTATAGCTTGATTTGCTCTCAAACAAGTTGAGCTTTTTTTTTTTTTAAACCCGTTCAAGACCTGTTTCCTACAACTTTCTGAGGAGAGCTTTACCCAGCATCAACCCAGAGGTTTTGGGTGATGCTGACTCCTCTGTCTCCCAAAAGTAGGCACGTGACCAATCAAAGCAAACCTGCCCCAGCCACGTGACCCGTGTAACCAATCAGTGCAACAATCGGTTTCAAATTTGAGCTTTTGGTGGAACTATAAAAGAAGCCTCCTCTCCTTGGCAGAGCAGGTGTCAGGCCTGAGGGTTCTAGAATTCTCCTCACTCCTCCAGAGGAGAGGCTGCCCGAAAACACCGGTCCTGCGACACCTTCTGTTGCCGCAGTCCCTAATGCCATTTCTGCTCTGTAACCTGAGACAATAGATGCTCTTGTCCTCGAACAGAAGTGGATTTCTGGGGGAGATGGCTCAGCGGTTGAGAGCACTGACTATTCTTCCAGAGGTCCTTAGTTCATTTCCCAGCAACCACATGGTGGCTCACAACCACTATGAATGATATTTGGTTCCCTCTGCTGGCATGCAGGCAGAAGACTGTATACATAATAAATAAATAAATAAGTGGATTTCTGAAGCCTGTAGCTCTCAGAGTCTTGGCTGATACAAATCACGAGACAGTCTGAGACTCTGCAAAGATGAATCAGTCATGCTCAAATAGAACACTGCATGAACTAAGACAACAGAAGACTTAAGCCACATCTTCATTTTTATGTACTTATTTCTGAGATGTTCACACTTGTATGCTCATCCAAAGGCCGAAGGATATCAGGTGTCGTTCTCTATTACTCTGTCTTATTCCCTAGCGACAGGTCTTCTCATGAACTCAAATGGCTCCATCTTTTCAACCTGACCCCCTGGCCTGCCAGCCACAGCCTACTGACCCCTCCCTCCCAGCACTAGGTCTACAGCCATGTTCAGCTCTTATGTGGGTGCTAGGGAGCCAAACTCGGGTCTCCATACTGATGCAGTTCTTACCCATGGAGTCAAGCCACACCTTTATAACAAGCATCCAGTTATCTGGAACCAGCCCAGATAACTATACTTCATAAGAGCACCCTGGTGACATTTTGTAACAAAGACAAATTACTAAAATAAAGTAATATTTTATTTTACCTTCTCAGGCATGCAGTCCAAGGAAATACACATTTGTAGAAATTAAAAATAATAGCAAAATGGGGATAACGTTAGAAGTTGCATGGAATCTGCAGAATGGGGTGATTTGGGACCTTCTCGGCTTGCCAAGACAGGTCTAGCCCATGTAACAATTTCTGTGGTATCTGTCCAGAAGAGAGTTGTCACACAATCATGAAGCCCAAACAACTGAAACATGTATGGTACACAAAGCAAAAAGGAAAACGTTACTAGGTAGCACGGACTAGGTGTTGACATCAAAATAACCGGTGAACTAGAGTAAATAAACCTACTAGGCAGCACCTCAAACATTACTCGATTTGTTCGTTCATTTATATATGCACATATTGGATTTGTATTTACTAAGCACCTACTGTGTGCCAGAAGGCACGGTGTTGAACTCTAGGTAAGGGCACCTGCTCTGCCCTATAGGAGTGAGCACCCAGTCTCCGGTGGAAATGCAGAGGACCACCTGCATTCTGGGAAGTTCCAACAACATTCCTGACCAAAGCAAACAGCAGCACGGATTCAGTCAACCACGGTTTCCAAGGGGAAGGTGCTGGCTCCCCTTTCTCTTCAGAATGACAAAAGGTCACTGTTTTGTTGTTGTTGTTGTTCCAGGATTAACAACACAGCATTGTATTACAGTGGACTCAGAAATGGTTGTCAGTTTCCTCCACTCCACACTTAAGGAAACCCAAGATGTCACAACAGAAGTGGCTGCTGACCCTCACCCACCCAGGAGTCACCACTGCATGCCCCTTGGTTCCCAGGTGTCCCGCACCAAGGCCATCCAAATGGGCTGCTCTGCCCTTGGCATGTGCCTTCAAGGCAGCTCCACTTGCCCATACTTAGATATGGAACTCAGGATCTCACCAGCACCTCCAAGGCCACTTCTTCCTCTACAACAGTTGTGAACCGGATGAAGAGGCGGGGTCTTCGGGCCTTGCTTACCTAGGAAAGGGCCTGACTGACACCTTCCCTGTGATGTCACTAACAGTGGCCACAGGCATTGAAAGGAGCAAACAGCAGCCTGCACCCAGGCTCCTAGGCCCATCTCCTGTGTCCTGGTACCTTGATGGGCTTACAGGGAAACTAAGAAGTCTCACTTCCAATGCCCCTCAGGAAGGGTAGTTTATCATTTCTGTGCTGCCATGCAGAGCCCATGCTACCAGGAATTAGTTCCTAGGTCCACCAGGTAATAGCAGCTTCTGTGGGAGAAGCCAATCAAATAAGGAGGCTGAATTTTCAAACTGAGGTCTTCTACATCTGCTGGTTAATGTGCACAGTAAATGGTTTTTGAAGCCTTAACTATAAAAACATTTTTGTTTCATGCATGCACTAAAAATCAAAGTGCTTTAGTATTAATTTATTAACAGAATCTTTACCATTAGGATATATAATCACTATGAATTAGATTATATAAATGCTTGTGATGAAAATTATGCAAATCATTGTTTTAAAAAATTAAATTTTAAAGTGAATATCCCGATTTGGCTTTTTTTTTTAATGCACCAAACTTAACATTTTTTTCACTTAGCGTATTTTTATAAGTCAGTCATACATAAAAGTCTAAATAATCTATACAAAAATATTCCCATTTTCTGCAATGCCTCATCTTTTCTACATATGAATTTGTTCATTAAAGTGTCTTAGAAAATATAAAAATATTGCTAAAGTGTCATTGATGCTAAACATTCTCTAGAAAAACATACCTTTGTAAAAAGAACAACTACTAGAAATTCTGAATGAAATTCAAGTCCCGGATGTGCCACAGATGCGTCCTGATCAGGGTGACATCCAAGTCCATCCGTCCTCTGTGCCACTTCCAGAAACTAACTGTGACATTCACTGAGTGAGACAGGATTCTCGCTCTTTCAAAAGTCATCATTGATTTCTGTGGATATCCTTAAGGTGACACTCTACAGAGAGGGAGAGGAAGAATATCAACAAGTAAAACAGTTCCAGTATTAGCGATGGCATTCTCAGATGTGCCCTAAGAGGTGGCTCCACTATTGTGCCATGCTTGAAATGGGTCCTAGAGAAGTCTCTTGGCTTTGTACATGTTTTAGCCAATGACTCACTTGTTCTAGAAGGTGAGAGTTTCCCTGGGGCCAAATATGCTAAGGTCTTGTCTTCTCTTGGTCTTGGGAATATTTTTCAATAACAAAGTTTTTGTGCTTGTTTGTTTGTTTTTTCAAGACAGGGTTTCTCTGTGTAGCTTTGGAGCCTGTCCTGGCACTCACTCTGGATACCAGGCTGGCCTCCAACTCGCAGAGATCTGCCTGCCTCTGCCTCCCTAGTGCTGGGATTAAAGGCATGCGCCACCAACGCCCGGCTAACAACAAAGTTTATTACAGAGTCATATTTTCAGGGCTTTGGAACTAGTGAGATCTACCTGAAAACAGCCAGGACTTTGAGCATCAAATAGCAGATAACATGAAAGTTTCACTGGTTAAGTGGCCAGTTAGAGATGTATCTAATGTGTCCCTCTTTGGGAACAAGCCAATACGGTTGGGTGGTACAAAAGCCCCCCACCACACACACACACACACACACACACACACACACACACACACACACACACACACGCACGCACACACACACACACACACACACTGTAAGAGTAAAAGAGAATGGAACTTTTCAAATTTTTGCTAATCCTGATCATCACAGATTCATATAAAATTTGAACTGATGGATCCTTACCTGGAAATCTTGGATGAATGTTAGGAAATAGAAAATAAAACCAAAGGCCACAGTCCATTCACAGATAGCGCTCACTACGTGATACACATAATCCTAGTAACAACAACAAAGGAACAGGGTTTAGCCTAAAAGTGCTCATCCACAAGTAATCACCTGAAATACGAGGAAATCAAGACCAGAGGAAAAGCTGCCTGTTGAACACAAACTGTAACCTTGAGTTAAGGCCAGATGCAAAGCCTTGCAGGAAGAGGTCAGGGACCAGCCCAGAGCTGGTGGGGATGCAAACCTGCCCAGAGTTCTTTACATAACTTCAAGATAAGGTAGATCAAGGACCACAGAATAGTTGAGACCCCAAAGCATATTTGGACCCCAGTAAAGATCTTGATTTGATTTGGTTCCCCACTGAAGTGTCTTGTGTGCACTCCCAGGGACCGCCCAAGAATAAGTGTATGCATGCAGGCAAGACTAGCCCTGCCCAGCCTGGTTCTAGGTATGTCTCTCTGTTCTTGTTCCTGTTAATTCTGCAAACAGTTCTGCTCAGCACAATCAGGCAAGTAGCTGCAGGGCAAATGCCAGAGAAACACACCCATCCCATGACACTCTCTTTGAAGAAAACTAATGCCCAAATCAGGGCCTCCGAACTCAACTGTGTCTGGAGGTGAGGAATCATGAAACAGATGGTTGAGATACTGAAGATCAACTCATCCCATCTTTTGATTATATTAGTTTTTACTTTAATTTATTTTTCAGTGTTGGGGATTAGACTGAGGGCCCTGCACAAGCTAAGAAAAGTGTTGTTCCCTGAGATACATTTCCAACCCACTCACTACATTCTCACAAAACAGGAAAATAATATGCTGTTTCCAAAGTAAAAAGTTCTTCATATATGCATGCATGAGTGTGTCTCTCCCTTCCTCCTCCACCGTGTACTCCTCCATTTCTGGGTCTGTGTCCCCCCCTCATGTCTCTCTCTGTGCGTGTATATGTGCACATGTGTGTCTCCCTCCATTTCTGTGTCTGTGTGTCTCCCCTCATGTCTCTTTGTGTGTATGTATTTCTTCTTTCCCGTGTGTGGTGTGTGTGTGTGTGTGTGTGTGTGTGTGTGTGTGTGTGTGTGTGTGTGTATGTCTCCTTTCCCATGTCTCTCCCTGTGTGTGTGTGTGTGTATGTCTCCTTTCCTGTGTCTCTCCCTGTATGTGTATGTATGTATGTGTGTGTGTGTGTGTGTGTGTATGTCTCCTTTACCGTGTGTCTTCCTGTGTGTGTGTGAGCATGTGTGTTGTCATCTGTGCTTTTTTTCCTGTTGTAAATTCATTTGAAAGCACTATTAAATTCTACATTTCTTTTTTACCCTAGTCTGCACTCTGATCAACTCACATGCCAACTCTGTGGACACTTAGTTTGAGGTCTGTGATTTCAGGTGAACATGTCAGTTCTGGGGCAACAGCTCTTTTGACCTCCTTTGCATTCACAGAGATTTCAGATGTGTGCCAAACTGTGGTAGATATCTCTACAGATGTTCACATCCGTGCATGGTTCTCACCCAAGGTCACAACTGAGGAGATGCTGGCCAGTCTGATTAGGGACAGAGAAGAGTAGTCACTCATGTTTGGTGCTAGCAGCAGGAGTCATAGCCTACCCCAGATCAGCCCTGAACAATGAAGAGGGCTTACAAAAGCAGAGGCAAGGGATCAGAGAGATGGCTCAGCAATTAAGAGCACTGGCTGCGCCCCCGTTGGTTGCTCACACCTTTAATCCCAGCACTCGGGAGGCAGAGGCAAGTGGATCTCTGTGAGTTCGAGACCAGCCTGGTCTCCAGAGCGAGTGCCAGGATAGGCTTCAAAGCTACACAGAGAAACCCTGTCTCAAAAAAGAAAAAGAAAAAATAAGAGCACTGGCTGCTCTTGCAGAGGACTGCGGTTTGTTCCCAGCACCCACATAGTGACTCACAATGGTCTAACTCCAGCTGCAGGGGATCCCAAGCCTCTTCTGCCTCCAAGGAGGAGCACCAGGCATGTGCATGGTGCATATACATATGTGAAGGCAAAACATACACACATAAGTATTTTTTTAAAAATGTAAGTAGTCAGGAAGATTGACAGATGGCTCACTGGATAAAAGGCACTGTGGCCACACCTAATGACCTGAGTTCATCCTTTGGAGTCCACATGATGTAAGTAGAGAAACAATTTTAGAGAGTTGTTCTCTGATCTCTCTCTCTCTCTCTCTCTCTCTCTCTCTCTCTCTC